GCAGACCATAGTCTCCAAGCACCTCATGACTGACATCCATATACCTGATGGACAGTCGTTTTCAGTCATACCTATCCATCGACCGCTTATGGACTACAGAAACCAATTCAATGAGTTAGAGGGCAGCAAACTACAGGAACTCCTATTTACAATGAGTAAATACATGTACCCTATCGTGCCGTTAACAGTGAGCACCGGGGTCATGATAGATCCCGATATATCTGGATTAGCGCCCAATAAATCTACAATTTTTGAGCGACATATCAGTAATACTATAGAAATGTTCAAACATTTGACGGCATTTAACTCGTTGAACGAAAACGATAAGATTGCCCTGGTTAAATACGACTGTTTGGACCTGTTTTCCATGCAATGTATCCCGTATTATGACATCAATTCAGATAATCTGACATTTGTCAAGGTAGTTTCTATTTTTAGTTAACATTTTCTATACACTATTGAAATAAGTGACCATCATCATGTTAACATTTATATTTATACTAGGGTTACGAAAACAGCGAAATAGTTAGTTTAGATTTATTGCCGCAATATTCCCAGAATCTATGGGAACTATCGAAAGCCTTTTACCGGAATATGTGTGGGGAATGGGATGCCGACGCCGTTATACTGGATTTTGTAAATATATTATATTTATTGAATTAACAATTAAGCCATTTATTTTATATTACTTATTTCATATTAAAATATAACTGGTAATACTTTAACTCATTTAAACTCACAGGTGTCAGTAATCTTATTATTTAATCCCGATTCGCCAAACCTTGTGGACAAACATTTAGTTAAGTAAGTGTTACAATGAGTTCACCTTGTTTAAATAAATACATTGTTAATATTGATTAATCAATAATTCATTAATATCAACCCTACATAGACTGCAACAACACGTATACATGTATTTACTGCAACGCTATCTACTATTGAGATATCGCACGGAATCGGAATCGCAGAATAAATTCCGTAAACTAATGAAGTATTTAAAGGATTTAAAAGTTTTGGTTCAAAACCAATGGACCATTATATCGACTACAGTCGATCCCATACGCATCAGATCCAGGCCATTGTTGCGTGAAATATTTGATGGCAATAGTTGTATACCAGTTAATAACCCTGGTCGTAGTAATATGACTATAAATCATGATGATTCAACCATTGCATCATCTCAAAATTATTTTACCACAAAACAAAAGCTACCATGCTGCCACCTTAGTAATAAATAGGCTGTCAGAAAATACTATAACAAATTACTACCATGGTAAAAATTATAAAAAAATAGTTTCATATAAATAAAATTTATCTGGTATAAGCAGAGTTTATTATAGAAATATTAAAAGTCTAAATTAGATATTTTTCGAGTAGCTACTAACTACTAACTTAGTACACCTTGTGTACATCTAAAATTGTATCCGATTAAATTACATAATTAAAATGTAACACTAATATCATAATATAAATAAAATTTTAGGTGGTATATAGTCGTGGGTTAACCCCTTTTCTCGATCACGACAAACACCTTATCGCGAAACTCCATACGTATATCCCGTTCAGTGCCGGGGGTTCGACGGAGTCTATAGCCCCTCACGACGTGAGCCAACGCTAACTTTACGCACAGCAACGCGAACCTCCAGCCGACACACATACGAGGGCCGGTACCAAAGGGCAGGTAGGCGTACGTGTCTATCCGATTCCTATTAGCTGGCGTAAAGCGATCCGGATTAAAAGTGAACGGATCTTGGTAGTATTTTGATGAATAATTAATGGCGCCGGTAGGTATGTTGATCTGTTGACCTTGCTCAATCACTAGTCCAGTATCCGCCAATGGGTAGTCGTATTTGGCTACCCGTTTTACGACATATCCCTTGTTGTGTAGACGCAGTGTCTCGTCGACTACCGCTCCCAAGTAGGCCAACCCTTGTAGCGAGTCGTATGTTATATGTCCGGTATTAGGGTCGGTGTCGGCGCCCATTAGCTCGTCGTACAGTTTCTGTTGATATTCCGGTTCGCGGGACAGTTCGTAGCAACACATGGCCACCACAGTTGCTATGTTGTCGTAATTACCCTGGGTCATGGTTATTGCTACCGCCACGATTTTATTATCTATGATACATGTTAGAAACTTTGTTAATTATTATGTCATTAAAAATGTCAAATAATGATCAATATCATTATAAATTTGACAAATTTATTACATAGTGATCATCAGTGGTTAATATTTGTAAATATCATGATAATTGATAAATATCATAAATAATCTAGCTACTTGAGCATATAATTTGTACTATTTTTAATATATTGTAGTATTTACTATACAGTATGTATATTTAATATACAACATGTTCAAACAAAAAACTTACCTGCTTCCGTGGTATTAAATTTTTTATTGGCATCCATTAGCCACTGAATAAAATCCGTGTATATCTCATCCGGGCATTTACGGCGCTGTTGAACATTATGTCGTATAGCCTGCACAAAATACTCGATAGCACCGGCACTATAATCCACACCCAGCCAATGGTGCACCCACTTTGGCAAAAGTAACTGGGCCAGTTCGAGGTAGGCGTTCCTAGCGGTCATTTGCCTAGCCCTGGTCATTAACGGATTATCCCTATCATAGCAATCAATTTTTATGCCAAACGCACAGGTAGTAAAAATATCCATGGCAAAACACAGGCACATTGACTTTATGTCAATCGGGGCGTTGCCATGCGTCGGACACCGACCTAATTGGTCGGTTAGGTTGGTAACGCACTCCATAAGGCGTGGGTATATCTGACGCATGCGCGCGGAGGTCAGGGTGGGTGCGAAGCTGAGCCTAAACTGGCGCCAGTCGTTGGCGTTTAGGGACAACATTTTGTCGTGAAACGAGGCCACAAACACTTTGGCCTTGCTCAGTTCGGGGAACACATGCGCGTCCTTGATCAGGATTATTTTGATAAGCTCAGGGTCGGCGATGTTTAGCACCGGAGTGGCATTTTCGACGTAATGGCTAAAGTGAAAGTTAACTTGCTTACTACCATATCAATATTATGTTTATATTTGAAATAATAAAATTATTTAGCAACTTGGTTAATATGAGCAAGCTGTTCTCGGTCAGGATATTACATCTTTAACATGTTTTTATAAATTAATCATGTTTAATTGTATTTTAATTGTTTAGAAGTGTAATTTTATCTTGCGCAATTTATTTAATCTTTTATATACCCATAAATGTTGCCATATTTGTTTAGCCACTCGTAATGCTGTCGCACGTGTTTTGTCAATAGGCCGATCCTATTGCCAAATATTGGTAATGGTCTGGGTCCGATTACACCCTGGTCAGTCCAATAATTGTAGCCACAAGTAAGATACCTTGGTTAATCAAATTATATAAATATTATGTACAAATAATTACTAAATAAAAGTGATTCTGTAATTAAGAAACAAAAAATGGTGTAGCAAGATTACAAACCTGTAACCTAGTTTGAATAATATAAATATTAATCCAATGATAACTGACCAAATAATAAACGTTTTGCAAAACACCATGGTTAACATCATATTATAAACACTGTTTAATTTTATAAAAGATTTATCTAATATAATTTCATTATTTAAATAAATTGCTTGTAAACCTCTCATTGTAGTTTAATATTAATATTTTTGCAAATCATTACAAGCTCCTTTTATATAAACCATAAAACATACGTAGAGGTAGTGTGACCAGATATTTTTTCAATATTTTGTTTAAAACTTGACAATTGTATAAAATGAGACAATATTAGAATTAATCCAAGTTTAAAACTGGACAATACTATCCATTACATTGTAATAGATCAATTATAAAACTGGACACTATGTGCAAAAACTGGACAATCCAGCCCAAAGCTGGACGTCTGGTTACACTACGTAGAGTACATGTATTTAATATTTCTTATATAAAATACTAGAGTCAAAGTTAAAATTTTACATTACATTGCAAATATTGTATGAGTGTAAATATTTATTAAAATTTTTAAAATTCATAACTAAAATTTTACTTGTCCTCAAAATTATATATCTTATGTACATACTGTATGAAAAAATGTTATGTAATTAAATTTTAAGTAAATTGCAATTATTAAACATTTTGATAACCTTTAGTAAAATGATCAATCCAATAATTTATTGTAAATACTATATTACGCTTATATATTATACATTAATAAACTTATGATACAAAATACTCCACATTTTATAAACACTTGTTAGAAACCAAATGAGAAATTCTTTGCCATTAGTACCAAACCATAGGCTAATCAGTCCTCCAATATATGACATATAGTCCGTCAGTGACAGCACCGGTTCCGCCCGATAGACATACAGGGGTTGAGTCGTATCCCAAACCAACGACATCTCTGTAAACCTATTATCGAGACTCAAGTTATGCCACAATTCGTTACCAATGAGTGTATCGCTCGACACGACCCGTGCGTTGTACTCAACGGTCACACAATCTTTCGGACAATATTTCATACACTTTGCGCTAACTATAGCCATACCCTCTAACTGATCCCGATAAAAGAGATTATGAGACAAAATGTTACAAATTTCAGTGTATTGTACAATAATTTTGATTTTAATTTTAACGATACTTGTAATGATTAGGTTATTAAATCTTTCAAACATTTTAAAATAAAATCTCTACTCATCTGGGTAATAAACCAATTATTGACAAAAATAATGTTAAGTTAACATTATTAACTAACAAGTAAATCTTATTTTTTATGTTATTCTAGAAAATTTTATTTTTATTACAGTAATATTTTTTAAAAAATTATCATAAAACATTTTAAATTAAAATAAAAACCTGTTCCTTGATAAAATACATAAAATTACATTAAATACAAAACAAATTATAAAGTATGCTCATTAAAATTTAACTAATTACTTTTTAATGTTACGCTACGTAACATTAATTTACTAGGACTGTTTAAACATACTGTATGTAATTCATTGTTTCATATCATTTAAGTTAAATGTAAACTAAATTGAATTGAAAACAATTTATTAATTAACATCAACAGTAATGTCACTTAAATATATAAAACTTCGTTTAAGTGATGTGAGGTATAAAATGCCAGTTAATTTACTATTGCCTAAAAAGCAGTCATTTAACGGCAAAGACTTAATTGAATATCTGAAAGAAAAACAATTGTTTTTTGAAGACTCCGAGAAAATTCATATAAATAAGGTTTTAGACAATGGTGAGATAAGTTACACTTGTATTTTATTTGATGATCTGGATGTATTAAAAATAAGTGAAGATATGCGATTTATTTTCGAAATATTTTCCAAAACTGATAAAGAATTGGATAATTTGGCGAAAACTAAGTATACATTGAATTGTGTTTAAAAAGTATGCGTTTATTAAATGTGTTTGTATTGATAGATGCGATGAAGAGTTGTCCCAAAAGTGGACACAAATGTCGACTGAAAATAAGGATTTGAAGGAAGAGTTGTCGGCTTTGAAGGTTTCAAAAGGTGTGATTGAGTCGGAAGTGAAGGCATTGAGGGATGAAGTGATGGCTTTGAATGTTATAAAGCAAATGAATGCGAAAGATATGAAACAAGAGTTAATTGCATTGAAGTCATTAAACGAGACAATGATTTGTGAGAACAAAGAGTTGAGTCAATCGATGGTGTCTTTGAAGGAAACAAATGAAAGAATCGAAAGTCAGTTAAAAGTATTGACACAACAGATGATGGCTTTGGAGACGAGGTTTGATTTGGACTTTAAGCTGAAATTAAAATTATTTATAGATTTTTAATTTTTATTATTATTTATGACATAAAAAGTGGTTCAGAGACTGACTGTACATGTGATGGGAAAGGATCACAGAATCCATTGAATACCACTTCTGGTGATAAGAAAGCGATCGAAATGTTTAATGAGATCTCAAAACACATGGAAATGACAAACAGTTTATTGAATGCAATGAATGGACAGAAGGATAAGGCGTTGACAGCACTCGAGGGGATCAGACATGTGGTGGACAACACAGACACTGAATCCACGGCTAGTGTTCAGACATTGAGCGAAGATATGGATAAATTGAAAACCCTTTTCCAAAAACGGATTAGTTTTGGGGAGGACTCTGAGTCTGTGGCCAACACTTCAATGTAAGCATCGATTGTCTCATTAAAGTTACCATCAATTCATTCATTACTTCTTATTTTATAATAGATCTCAAAGTACTGAAGACTTATCTCTGGAGCCAATGGCAGACAAGTTCTCATTGTTTGTGCGAAAGTGTTATCAAAAGTTGTCACAAATGAATGAAATCTGGAAATCATTGTCTGGACTGAGGTTTGTGTGAATCCTATCATAAATATAGTCTTCAATCGAGTATTTAATTCATTATTTGTCTCATTATATGAACAGCCCTTCCGTCAGGAATCCAGTGATGGATGAAATGTGGACTCAATTCACGGATCAATTAACTCACGACAAGAACCAACTCTTTAAATAAAAACTTATACTTTATATGAAATTTAAAATATTCAATAATTTGTAATCTCTTACTATTTTATGAAGTATTTAATCCCGAATAAATTGTGTTATTCATATACTCTTATGTAATTGACAATAATAAAATAACTTTTTAGAAATTAATTAATCAACAATTAAATTCACATTTTTATGTCAGACAACATATTATGGCCAACATAGACATTAAATTTATGGTTAGTGTTTAGACATTGAGTGAACAAAACATACAACAAATGAGGACTCAGTTTGAAATTTGTGGTCAAATGCCTGACAGTTGTATGGACTCGGAGTTTGTTACCAACACTTCATTCCCGATAATGAGTTAGTGTTTGAAAATATTTTGTAAAATGATTTATAAAATTAATTAAAAATTAATATCTATAATACACAGTTTAAACAAATATTTGTTTATTTATTTTTATGTTGTCTCATACAGTATGATGAGTTAAATTAGATTTAAAATAAAAACTTTTGTGACAATCATTGAAATGACAAACATATGGTTTTTCACATTAATGTAAGACTTTGTGTCGTTTTAAATAATCTTTTCTTTGGAAACTTTTGCCACAATTTTCTTCATTGCATTTGTATTTCCTTTCATTTAAATGAACACAACTTTTGTGTTGAAGTAAACACTGTTTTGTTGTAAACTGTTTGTGACATTCACTCTAATCGCTTACATATCTCACGTTTAAATGAATCCTATTTTTGTGTTCAATTAAATCTGAATATGTTTTGTAAACTTTATCACAATTATTAAATTCACATTTAAATTGTTTTTCATTTGTATGTTGTAACTGATGACTACTAAGCAGTGGAAACAGTTATAAGTGTTGAGTATATTAATGGTGTTGTGATTGGAAAGCATTTTATCACTTATTTTATATGAATTCAAATCAATTGAATTGCCACAAGTGGTAGAAATGTCTACTTTTATCGTATGGGTTATCAGCCAAATAAGATGACTGTGTTTGGGTGTAATGATAGGCATATGTGTCATGGGGCCAGTAGTCAGTATGTTTACGGAAAGCCCGTAAGGTATCCGCAGATGTTTTCGGAAACGGATTATGGTTTCAGTTTAGATGTCATGAAAATGTGGACCAATTTCGCTAAAAATATGTAAGAGATATGAGTTTTATTAGATTTATGTGATGCTTATGAAATGTTTTGTTAAATGAATAAATGAATGAACTTGTTATAAATATCATAAATAAATACTATTTATATTTATAGTAAACTCCGCGAGGAATGGCCACTGTTTTTGACTAATAAACCAAATGTAGTGCCAAAAGTGGAAGACCTGAATCCCAATCCCAATATGTCATTTATTTTGGACAACCCCTATAAAACTACTTGTGATGATGTTTGGAGTCATTATTATTAATAAAATTTATTTAAAAATAGTCTAATACAATAAGGACAATATTTTAAATTTAGGAATCAAATGTTAATTTTGTTAAAGATATTTTTATGAAATTTAATGTAAATGTTAATTTAATTTCGTTTTATAAATATAATGAAAAATTGTATAATAAAAATCAATCAATAAGACAAGCATAATTTATTATATAATTTTAATATAACAATTCATAGTATTTAAATATTTGCAGTATTTTATAACTCAATATTTAAATGACTTTCCTTAGTGCACACGTTAAGTGCATTGAGGTTATACTATACCCAGACATTAGAATTATGTTATCACTGATAACTTATCAGTTATGGAGATGTGTATTGTGTTGTGTAATAAAGTTTCAAGGGTTTATTTTTTAGTCAGTTTAGTGCATTAAGTTTGAAAATATTGAATACTGTATAAAAGTGTTATACATTATAAAGTTAGTGATATTTATTGTTGCGTTTTGTGAATTGATTTTGAAATTAATGTTTTAAAAATGATTTTTGCAAATAAATTGTGTTTTGTATTAATCGTGTGTTTAATTGTTCGGTGTGTTTGCGATGAGAGTAATAGTGTTGTCGTGAATACGAGTTCGGGTGGAGTGAGGGGACAGACACT